AATGTGCTTGGTGATAAACTGGAAGCTCTTCATCAAGAGACTCTGGCTAATCTACATGGCTAATAATCTTATCTCTTTGATACTATTCATTAAATTAATCTTAAGTATGAAAGACTTGTGTACTATGTCCGTTATAATTGTTCTGGGTTTTATAGGTCTGGGCCCGGGCTGTTCTTAAGTTGGTTTGGGTTGGTATTGAGTTGGTATTGGGTTGGTATTGAGTTAGTATTGAGTTAGTATTAGGGTAGGCATATAATGGTTTGGGCTGGATGTATCAAGTATTTTGAAATGGTGTCAAATCTGGTGCGTATATGAGATAAAAGAATGAAGTGCGACTGTATATATGTTTGCCCTAAGCTGGTGTGGAACTCTTTGACCCATTAGAAATTCAAGGCAGACTGGTGTAGTGCCCAATGCTAACTCAATACTTAACTGATGCATACTCTCTTAAAGACATTCCTTGCGGCGAGTAGGGGCTTTTATTAAGTAAATATGGTTGAGCTGGAATAAGATGACGTCATATTGGATTGGTGTTAGTCTTAGTATTAGTACTAGTAAGTCGTGTGTACTAAATAGTGATCAAGTTCATGGTGCAGAAAATGGATAGTGGTCGTATGACAGCACTACAACTGGTAGTATAATTAGGTTTTAATGGATGATTGTTGACTAGAAGATGTCTTTATTGGTTTTTGGCAATGGACTGTGAGCGGCGCACTGGGTTATAATATGGGCCTTGGATGAGTTGAGGGAAACTCTTCAGGAATAAAGAACGGCCTTTAATTGATTGGTCTTTGGCGTCAAGTAAATGTATCCTCTCATAGGTTATAGAGGGATTGGATGATGCTTTGGCAGTAGATGAATTAAGCGCTATTGCCTGTTCGAATCGAGCTATGCGCTGCTTCACCGATTGCTGGCCCGGTGTAGATAGGGTTTGATGGAAGTCCCTTGGAATATCATGTATGTAAAGATCACCAACAGCGCCTGACCTTTTAAGACCAGAGTCAAGATAGGGAATTAGAACGTCATAAGAAAGACTTAGTGTCGGATCGAATCCAGATGAAGCACTTTTAGAGGCCAGATAATCATCGAGGTTAAGAACTGTGATGTTTTGGGGCTTTAGGTTTGTGCCGCTAAGATTCACG